CCTCTCCAGGGCTTTATAAAAATGAATCCACAAGTATATTAGACGGGAGTCGGCTTTGTGTAATCATTGTTCTACCATCCCTCGGAATTCAATTGATATTTCTAATACACGTCCCGACATTTCTCCGAACTAAATAGAGTACAGTTCCAATCCGACGTTCTATAACACGTAGGTCTCACTTTGTATTGCCTTGATGCGATTTAACAAGTACCCTTTCGCCAACCTAGAAACTGCGAACGACCTTCTGATACTCGTTCGTCATTTCGCTTGTCTTCATCATCGTTTATCAACATCTCTGAAACCTCGAAACAAGCAAAACATTTTGACGATTTTCTTATTGTATATTCTGACGTCATGTTCGGTGTGTCATATAATTCCAGCCACTTTGTAAAAGCATCAGCAACGACCAAGTAACTTCAACCTTGTATTGGAAAGGCGAAATCAAGGTGAATTCTTTGCCGAGACCTGTCTGGTTTTGGCTGTGTTCGAGGTTCCGCTTTAATCGAATTCTTCACGGCTTCTGAACAGGACTAACAGCTGTGACACTTTTGTTCTATATCACGGACTATTGATGGCCAGTACGTGTAACTCCGGTCCAGGGAATTCTTTTCAATTATTCCCGTGTGCTTGCTATGGAACTGTTCAAGGATTTGGTGTCAAAGCACTGTGGGTATAACAATAAGGTGGTCAAACACGATGCTCCAATCGCCGTTTGTCAAAGAGTCTTGGCGACGAGAGTATCGTAAGAGGCATCCACAGAGTCGATATGAAGGCTTGCTGAATCTACAATGGCGAACTTCGACCCCAGCTTTTACGGCAGCTACGAGCACCACCACTTGGGCCAATATCTGCATATCCGAAATTCGTTATCGACTGGGACTCTATCCTGAAATCAAAGACTAGTAGCTTAGTTGTCCTTTTTTGTGTACGTTTGCTGTATTAATAGGGGTAGGAATTGACAATAGTCAAGTAGTCTTGCCGATGAGAGTATTGTAAGAGCTCTACAAAGCTCAAAATTGGTCATGAAGTCCTGTGAGTTGCTCAATGTTCTATTTTTCATACCCTAAAAATTTTTACAACTTTATACTTTTTAATATCCTTTGATTTGTTATCAGTCCATACTTTCTTTAAACCATTAGTTATCTTCATAGCAGTGTGATATACTAAATGGACATCTAACCCGTAGTAGAAATTCTTTAACTATCCGATTTGCTTGTATAGACAGGCTTTGATTAAAGCAGTATTCATACTTACCAGAAACGTAAGAGAGCCTAACATCACAAAAGGAGGGAGGGTGACGTTTCTGACCAGCAAAAATGATGGTAGGGAGATAACTTCAATCCACCCATGTCTGTAGGGCAGTACATTTTGTTTAATAACGGCTCCTTATGGTCTAGTGGGATGTCACGAGATTAAGGTTTTAATGCTGAATTATCATGCAAAACACCTCATAAAATCGTGTTTAGAACGTTGAATTGGTTTCACTTTCTACTCAGTAATCCTATTACAAGCAAACTAGACAATTCGCTAAAATACGAAGCCTACTTAAGACCCCGGAAAATCTAAAACAGGCCCCAATAGCTTCGAAAAAGGGAGATAGCCAGTTGTGTATCATAATACTGTCTTTAGCACTATATTTTATAAGTACACACAATCCCATACTGAGTTCCTTTCTGAACCACCTCGGTTTGTCAATTGTTTATCCACTCATACATTGTTCACACTTATTTTCTTTAACCTGTTAGGATGCTCTTGCTTAGTAAATACTCTAATAAAAGAAAATTAGACTGAGTAGTCATACCTTTAATAATCCTTCATGAACATTGGCTGCTCTGTCTCTTGTTCTTTCTTTTACTAGCTCCCTTTTTCAGCCCCCTTGGGATATGGAACTGGTGACTTCATCCCGCATCATCCTTAAAGCCTCAGATATTCCAAAGGTATATAAAGTTGTGGTTTCTAGAAGCTCCCATGTTTAATGGATCTATGCACGTCGCAACGCAACTTTCACGAAGCGCGCCAAATGTCATGGTGACTAAAACCATCTAAATTCATATCTTATGAATTATCAACCCTGATGAGTAATTTACTACAGTGGATATTGTATCAATTTGATCTTGCCTGTAAACTGGCATGCCTCATGTAACAAACTGTTATTTGAGAATAAATAAACACTAGTCAGGATTGCGCGTCGTGGTTATCGGTGTTCAGGCATACGTAAAATGTGGTCCAAACATCTCAGTCGATGAAGATACACAATTTCATAAACTGATTTACCACCATTCCCTAGCACCTCGTGTCTAGCGCAGACTAGTCCTGAAGCACCAACTTGCATTTAGAGGAGGAGAAACGCATGCCAAACATTCTGGTACTGTCGCTCAGTGCTACCTGAAGACTCCACATTTTATCAGCTTCTTCACCAAACAGGAATATGTCATTTGTGTATTCTAAGTCGATAAGTGGACCTCCTGGAAGGAGATCAATGCCCGAAAGTTCAGTCGAAGAGAATGTTATTTCCATCAGTAGGTCTATGATAAAGTTGAATAAAAATGGAGAAAGTGGACAGCCTTGACGGACACCACTTGAGGTTGCAAAAGCAGATGACAGTTCGCCATGAGCTCTGACTCGACTAGTAGTGTTCGAGTAAAGAGCCTTCACAAGGTTTATGTACTTCTGAGGTACGCCTTTCAATGACAGACTGCCACAGAATCCCGCAGTCTACCGAGTCAAATGGTGCTTTTAAGTCAAGAAATACCACCATTGTCGGACGCCGATAAGTATGCCTATGTTCTAGAACCTGACGAATGATGAAGATGTGGTCGATGCAGCTAAAACTAAATCTGAATCCAGCCTTATTTTCTCGTGTTTGAAGTTCACGAGTGTTAGTTAGGCGTCTGATAATTATCGAGGCCAGTATTTTAGATACTATATTAGTCAAACTAATCCCTCTATGGTTGTCACAGGATGATTTTGGCCCTCTGTTATATATTGGGACGATTGTGACCAGTCAAATGTGATTACGTCCAACTCCCAGATTTTAGCTAAAATACTAATCAACCTAATCTCTAAAATTGGACCACCATCCGTAAAGACCTCTGAAACCAATCCATCTAGACGAGGTGCCCTTCCTTGTCTCAGATTAACTATAGCCTTCTGAAATTCAGCTAGAGTTGGGGAACCTACTTCAATGTTTCATTCACACTGTCTGAGAATGGAGGGTAGTTGTAGAGTAGCTGAAGTGTTCCGCCCATCGTTCTAAACGCCTAGACTGGGAGCAGATGAGTGTAACGTCTTTTTCCGATATGATCTCACTTACACTTGACCTGATGGGACGAGTTTGCGAGAACCCATCAGTGTGATAGACTTTGAAGAAATCCAATGGTTCTTTGAAACTCTGCGGTTTAAGTCGCTAATAGATGTCACTGCTGCTTTCTCAGCTGTTTGTATATCTTTCCAAGCAACATCTGGGTCAGCCTCGTTTTCAGAACTACCTAAGTGTGACATCAGTTGTTCCTGGAACCTACTTTTGGTTTTCTCGCTACTCAATTCAGTTTTAATGAGTCTTTTTTGCGTCCAGTGAGGAGCAAGCAGATGCGTGCACATATTAGGGTATGGTCGGAGTCGGTACTCCAGAATGAGCGACAATCTTCTGTCGACCCTCTCCAACGACGACTGATGGCAATATGGTCTATTTGAGTCCATGGTTGGTTTGATGCAGGGGGTCACCAAGATCGTAGATGTCTCTCCTTATACTTAAAATTAGTTTAGCCGAACAGCACATAGACGATTGTTAGCGGGGATCCACTCCAACAGTGCTTATTCTGCTCTCATGCTTAGTGCTATACCCACACCTGCCAGTCCACGAGAACTGGCCATCGGGTCACCAGATACACGGAGGGTATCTCTTCGGCTATGTTTTTCCAAGGTGAGGTCAAGTGAATGACCACACTAGTATCATGTACGCGTGTTTTGGAGACACAGCATACATCAATGGTACGAGGTTCCAGGGTTTTTGGCTGCCGACCGATTCGACAAAGGGTGCGTAGGTTGAAGGCTACAGTGTGTAGTTTGGAGCGAGATTTCAGTTGATCTGGGACAGCGTTTTGAGCACTAGAATAGTTGGCTATGGTGGCACTTGAGGAGGAAGTTTAGCGTTGAAAGTCGATGTAGGAGTAATAATAGGAACTGAAGAGGGAGTCGATTGTGAATACAATGGGCTTGAGTGCTGTTGGAGTTATGAGGGCGGTAATTACTTCCCGGTTGCCCACACAGTGGAAGGGTTCTTCTGGAGGTACCTAAAACGGAAATTGGGTTAGAGGTGGTCCCAGTGACCTTTGCGTGGCCATAGTACCCAAGGGACAACTGCTTGAGATCAGTCACACACGACCTTTTTATGAGTAATTTTCGTGTTAGCTTCGTACTTGTTGAGGCCTTACCGCCAGATATCCGCGAGATAAGGTGAGCATTTTTAAGTCCGACCTTTTCTAACCCCACCGCTAACTGTGGGAAGGTAGCATCGCCGTCATGCTGGCTGTCTGAAGGAAGCACCTTACTACTGTTACATCTCTGTACTGTTAGCAGTAGGATTTCGCCTTCGGACCTTGAGTTTATTGCTTTAAATCTTACCGCTCTTCAAACGACCTGTCTGACATGGTAGGACCTTGGAGAACGGTTGTTCCAGCCAGTATAGCTCTGTCGCTTAATTACGATAAGCAAGCCCGACCAACACGTCAAGGTAGCAAGAGCGGTCGGGCGCCTTACCTTTCTTGATCATGTATTCTACCGCTAACCTCTTTTTTGTAGCGACACCACTACTCCTTTTGTTAGGATAATGTTCATTTTACTATACTGATACGTTGTGGGAACTCAGATAGATGAATATGTGGGCAAGGTTTTGAGTTGTTTATTACTGACTCATAAATACGGAGAAATGACTATTTAGCGACCTCCAACTAAACGATGCTTATCTGCAACTTATTGAAATCAAGACTGTATATAAAAGTAATACCACAACCAGTCATGTTTACTGAATGCATCAGAATGTCAGAAACTTTACAATGCCAGATTGTTAAGATCAGTTCCAGTACTCAGTGAAGCCATGTAAGTCAACTGCTATTTAGTAATCCAGACTGTAAATGACCATTCCAAAGCTCCTGAAGCTCAACCTTGCAGTCTAAGTCCCGAAGAGCTGCTTTAGCTTCATCACAACATGATGGGATTTTTAGTGCAGAATTGAGCAGTTTTTCTAAACCAGTGTCAGAACCAGAATCGGATGTCAGAAACGAAGACCGTAATTCTGGAGACCGTGAGACACAGTTACGTATAGCTCTACATGCAGCTCGAACAGTTGAAGGATTGGATAAATGAAGCTCGAGCGTCTACAACAGAAAATAATTGTACATAAGTATACAATTTAAGATATAAACTTACAAATAAATAAGTGATTGTTATTGATGTGAAATATTGAGAAAAGCAATCCCGCTAAAATTCAACAGGCTTGAGTGGATACTTATGAAATATCTTTGTTTATTAGAAGCACCTAAATACTGTAACAATAATAAAAGATGAAGGGCTGAGGATGAGTGAAAACAAATGCGACATAATCAGTACACGTTAGCAGAACTACATTTTAAATTTTCTAGTAATAGTTCAAGAAAGGAATTTGTATATTAAATCCAAGTAAATTAAAGAGCTAACGTTTATACGCTGGTGATTCGTAGACAATCAATCCTACAGCTAAGAAACACTATTCATAATATACACGTACATCACTGCAGGTTCTCACAGTTATGAGAGCAAGACGGAGGAGTGAAAAGAGGGACCGAACACACGGTAAGTATGATTAGTGCAATAACGATCGAACAAATATTTGTGGAAAAAATTATGTATAACGCATGTTTATATGGGCATATGTCAGTAGTCAGAAAGCAATAATTTACGTAGATTAAATTCCTAAGTAGTTGGGGGATAGCATAAAGAAAGATAATATATGCCATTCTTTAAAAGAGGGCTTCCATTTAAGACATTTTTAAATGACTCAATGCAATATTCGGTAACTTCTTGCATATAAAGTGCATTGGTTATTCTTATTCCATTCAGTATCACATTTTGGTAGTACGCTATGATTCGCTAAGTGTCACCTACCACGTTGAACAGTATTTATTTATAACGTTAATATTGATGACTGATCAAAGTAACGTAAAAATCGGTAGGATAGAGTATTAGTTCACATTCCTATACACCATCGAACTGTGTTAAAACACTAAAAGGAACGTGAAAGGGAACGAACAAAGGATATGATGGTAATATTTTCAACATTATTAGAGATGAGGAATGAATTGACATTTGATTCGCATCACTTCAATTAGCGAAACAACTAGTGGGCTTAAGAGTTTAGACCTTCGGTCTTTACTCGTTGATAAACCAAACTAATTAGATTATTTCTCAGTCCCACGTACTTCTGTAACAAATGTCACTGATGCAGACAGTGATTATGAATATGGAGTACATGTACTTACGATCTTTACTGGTAAATGTTATAACTGAACAAATAAGTTCAGAATTAATATCAATAAAATTAAAATTTCAAAGTATTGCATGAGTATCATACCAGCAAGGTTATTGAATGTATAAAAAATGTGGACAGACGAACCAAATTAAGCTTAAAAATGTTGACAATCCAAACAGAAATGTATGAGATCCAAGCTATTCAGTGTTTTTGTTCGTGTAACGCTTAAATTATTATTAGATTTATACTTTATTTTTCAAATTTTATTCAACTTAACTTGGTGAGATAATTTGATGCACCTGATGTAACAAACGATTTTGCAATATTAGGTTGTCGAAGAGTAAGCGCAGCAATTACACCTGAGATATATTTTGTAACAACAGGACTTTTTATATGGTCTTCAAATAGATCTACAATAAGCTGAGGTCCGGAAATACTATGGATTGACCAATTGCTAACAGAGAGTTTACAAGCATCTGAACCACATAGTGCTTGTAAAAGGATCAATGAAGACGAAATAATAACCTGAGAAAAATCGATAGGACGAAATAAAACAAAAGTGGGATAAAAGTGGATTATTTAGAATTTGACAATTAAAATAAACTGAGGAGAATTTATAAATTCTACATAGAGTTTGTTTTTATTCGACTGCAGTTTGACTTTGAGATAGAATTGTGGCTGGCAAAAATGTTAATATAATATTCATTGTCATGTTTTCAATTTCTGTCCAATACGATTTAAGTCAACGAAAATTCAGTTTGTACACATTTGTTCTATTACAGTTTTAATTTTGGTGTACTTATTTGGCAGTATACTTACTGGATCAATGATATTAATCATACATGGGTTAGTTTTAGCATAAGATTACTCAACAAAAATATTCAAATCAGCTGCCAATTGAAAAGCTTATCAGATTTTATCATAGATAAAAATGCAAACAAATGAATTTTGGGTTTTATTATCCTATGCTTTCCATTTTCTGATATCACCCGGCTTATTTGTACCACAATGTCTTTAACTTTATATCATGAGTGATATGATTACTTAAATAAGTCATAATTTTGATTTTGTTAATTTTATAACTTACCGAATTGATGTGAAATAGGGCTAATTAAACAGACACAGATTAGTAATAGGTCTTTAGTTATTCGTGAATAACTGACCAACCACTGCCAAATAACACATGAAACGAACACAGAATAGAGATGTTAAGCAGTTAGAGGTTGTCAGTAGGAAACTTTATACTACCTGGCAACTATCAGGAAAGGTGTAACTGAAATCTTGAGGAGATGGATGCTGCTTTTGTGGATAGAAACTCAAGTAGGTCGAATTAACAGTATGAGATGTTAACAATAAGCTAATCAGGTCGCGGTTGACCTCCTATACGACCGAGATATCTAAAACTGATTGGTCACTAAATATTGGTTAACGTTATATTCTTCTAGTCCTTTTGTGTTAATCAAATTCTATTAATCAAGTTGTTTAGGACATTGAGTGCAATGAAAATTAGAAAAGAACTAAATTACTCAACATTGTTATTCAAAGTTGGAGGAAATTTCGAAAGATTAGTGACTATAAAAGTATTAGCATAAATTGCTTACAGTTGACTTCATATTCGAATAGATAGTTTGCATTAGTATATCGATGCCGTTAAATGATGCAAATTTTGTGCACAACTCCTCGCGAGTAATTATAGTTGATAATGTCTGAAATAGGTCAGAAATTCCACTGACATTTGAGGAGTTCAAAATCTCTATAAAAAATTGGGAAAGAAATAGATATATGACAGCAGAAAAGAAAGAGGAAAATATTGAACGCACATGTGAAATATATATTCAACGATAAGGTAAAGACTGCCATAACATTAAAGGAAATCCCAAGCTAATAATGTGGCCATTTTTTTCCAAATCAAATTTTAAGGTGAAGACATATGAATGGTTATTAGACATCACCTCACAATAAAAAGCACATTGAAAAAACAAAAATGGAAATATTAACATCATTTGTAGTGAGAAATTAATCGTATGAAGGATTATTTGAAAATAACTAGTGAAATGGAATGAGAACTAAAAATGCTTAAAAGAAAGATTTAGGGAAGAAATTAAATATATTTGCGTTAGTCTCGGAGATTTTTAAACAGAGTGAACTAAGATTATCTTCACTAACTAAGTATCCTATGCCTCCAGAAACAGCAGTTTAACAATCTAGTTTTATGGACTGATACCACGTCTTTATCTAGCCATCGCCATTTTTCGCAATTTATCCCATACACTGATCAGCATTGAGCGCCAACCTAGAATACATATGAGTATAAATAAATGATACTTTCAGTATATTAACTGACGACTGATTCAAGACGTAAAAGGTGAATTATATTTCAGAAATTTCGAAATTCTAGTTGGGTTATTACTGAAAACAGGGAATTTGGAGTACACTTCAAAATCATGAGTTGGAATTTTATTTTACACACTGTGGTCAGGCAATCGAAAAGCATCACAAGTTTTTGCACAAAACACGTAACTAGAAATAGTAAACAGACGAGTAATAATAGCATCCCTATGTAATCTCGATGAGGTGACTGAATGTCAAACAAGAGAAAAGTAAATAACAGAGAAGGGTAACTTTTTTTTTACTAAATGGATCTCATAATTGGTTGGTTGGCTGAAGAGAACTGCAAGTATACCATATATAAGAGGGTTAAAATCATCCTGTGACAACCATAGAGGGATTAGTTTAACTAATATAGTATCTAAACTACTAGCCTCGATAATTATCAGACGCCTAACTAAGACTCGTGAACTTCAAACACGAGAAAATAAGGCTAGATTCAGACTTAGTTTTAGCTGCATCGACCACATCTTCATCATTCGTCAGGTTCTAGAACATAGGCATACTTATCGGCGTCCGACAATGGTGGTATTTCTTGACTTAAAAGCACCATTTGACTCGGTAGACTGCGGGATTCTGTGGCAGTGTCTGTCATTGAAAGGCGTACCTCAGAAGTACATAAACCTTGTGAAGGCTCTTTACTCGAACACTACTAGTCAAGTCAGAGCTTATGGCGAACTGTCATCTGCTTTTGCAACCTCAAGTGATGTCCGTCAAGGCTGTCCACTTTCTCCATTTTTATTCAACTTTATCATAGACCTACTGATGGAAATAACATTCTCTTCGACTGAACTTTCGGGCATTGATCTCCTTCCAGGAGGTTCACTTATCGACTTAGAATACGCAAATGACATAGTCCTGTTTGATGAAGAAGCTGATAAAATGTGGAGTCTTCTGGTAGCACTAAGCAACAATGCCAGAATGTTTGGCATGCGTTTCCCTCTCTCTAAATGCAAGTTGTTGCTTCAGGACCGGTCTGCGTCAGCACCTGAACTAAGGATATGGAGTGACGTAGTCGAACGCGTTGACAACTTCACTTATCTTGGAAGTCTGATCAGCCCAAATGGGTTGGTGTCTGACAAAATCTCAGCACGGATTCGAAAAGCTGGCTTGGCTTTTGCCAAATTACGTCACCTATGGCGAAGGCGAGATATCCGTCTATCAATTAAGGGACGAGTATACTGCGCGACAGTCCGTTCTGTTTTAAATTAAGGCAGCGAAACGTGGCCATTAGGAGTAGAAGATACTCGTAAGTTACTAGTATATGACCACAGATGTCTTAAAAATATTGCAGGCGTCTACTGGGATCACTGGGTAAGTAATAGTGAGGTAAGACGCAGAGTATTAGGGAATGATGGTAAATCAGGTGATAAGGTTGTTAATCTTCATCGACTGAGATGGTTGTGCCACGTGTTACGTATGCCTGAACATCGATTACCACGACGTGCAATGCTAACCGGTGTTGGGAATGGTTGGCAGAAGGTTAGGGGCGGCCAAACCAAAACGTGGCATCAGTGCTTGAAGTCACTAACTTCTAGTCTGAGCCATGTTGGTAGATGCAGACTACTTGGTTGGGGTCCGCACGACTATCGTAACCAATGGTTAGAGACTCTTGGTGACGTGGCTCAGAATCTATCACAATGGCGTCGGTGTATACACTCTCTGTCTTCCATTAAACTAAGAGATTAAAATCGCTTCATATTGTTCTTTCTACGAACTAATTCTTTCTTCCTGTACTATATCCTTATATGCAATCTATCTTTTATATATTACCACATCTGAATTAACTACTTTTATGAATCCGGTGTCCATCTTGCTGTGTTAATGAGGTATGGCAACTTGGACCGATACATATATGTGCCTGGTCCTACGTTGTAGCTGACTGACTGACTGATACCATTGTCTGAGAATTCGGGTAATTGTTTACGCGTGATGGAATTGCTAAATGAAGATCTACAGTGTTAGGAATCGCACAGATATTTAAAAAGCTTATGGTTGGTCATATGAAGGTAAAGAACGGACTTTAAAAATTACTTAAGTTATAGGTAATATAGGTTGAAAAAAGACAGGCGAACTTTTTGTGCTCAACGAAATTTTGTTGACTACCGAACCCACTAGGTTTGACGATACATCCGAGACAAGTGAAGCGACTGATGTGCTATTTTTATCCTAGACAATGCAAGTTAGTATTGCATAGGCGTTTTTAAGTAGTACAGAGAAAAGGTGTTCAGTAGACTGGTAGCGTCTTTATAAGATTTTTCCGGAAGCAAGATACTGATGAGAAAACTTTTATTAGTCAGTTGGACTGTTTATTAGGAATTGATAAATGTTAAAATAGTTATTACTACTAATTGGGATCAAATGTAGAACTATTGATTAGGGAGAAAAAGACCAGTGTATCGTCCATGTCCAGAAGTAATAACTTGGCTTTACACTGAATTTTTCCATAATATTACCGTATGGCTTTTGTAGTTTATTTTCTAGTCTGCTACTGCACTCGAATTATTGTGGTATCAATAAATACATACAGAGAATTCAGTTCACATAAATCTATGAAGCAAACTGTTTACCGGTCAACAACTAAACTTTTGAAAGGAATTGTTTCGGCCTGGTCTTTGCTACACAACTGGAAAATATTATTACAATAAAAGCGCAATAAATGAACGTCTGCAATTGCTTTTCAACGGTATGCCTCCGGTACTCTTGACCCGATCCCTAACTAATAACAACACAAAGCCTAGACTAAAACTGGGAATATATTTCCTGTAAAAATATTCTTCATTCCATAGCCTTTTTTCTTCAATCATCGATGGGCTTTAATAATTATAACGAAGTTTATATTAAACAAATACCAAAAGCAAGTGGTCGCAAAAAAACTCGGAATACAATTAAACATCGTACTGAAATGATTAATAAGTGAATTTGTCAACAGTCCGATGTCAAAGTGAACGACCATCATACAAAATTAATAAATAATCTTACTCGAGTTACCTTATCAGAGCTCTTGACAATACTCATAAACTTTAATCAATGCGACATGAATAGAAAAAAGCTATAAAATACTGCAGAATGTTTACTTGATATTAACTTGACAAATACTTCCAAACACAAGTCACTTTTAGCTATGGTACGAGCATTTTCACTTCCTAGACCGAATTCAACGTCTAAATCATCATCGAGGGTTAGTGATCGTAAGAATCCGCATCCTTCTTTTAATGCAGGATAGAAAGTATTAAAAGGGAGATCGTCAAACAATTCCGTGATTCTCATGAAAAAATTTATGGTATGAGCAACAGTTTGAGTTTGGAAAATAAAAGTCCTATTCCTTTCATTTTTCGTGCAACTAAGGTGTAACACTGAATAGATTGCAGCAATCAAACTGAATTTTAAATCGGTAGATGGGTTTTCTTTCAATTCATTAATTAATTTGGAGAGTGAATTTATTAACTCTATGGGGGTAAAAAAGAAAACAAAGTAAGACGAGTTAGACATTTTACTAGTTGGATAATTTGCCACGGAAAAATTGATATTATTATGACATTTAACACACTTCTACGAATTGAAGGGTTTTCCGAGATTCGTTTTGAACACCAACTTTTAAATAGAAATTAAGCATCGGCAACACCGGACCTGGCACAAATATGCTATTGGATTTACATCAACATCCTGAAATTTCCTCTTCAATGGAGATAATCCTTATATGTCCAGCAATACAGTACAGTATACTAGCCTCTTATTTGACAAACAGATACATCGCTTGTGCCATAGGTGGTGCACGTTGGCATTATTCAAGAGAGGTTGGTGTATTAGTGCTAGTACTTAGTCTCAATTTAAAAGCAAGAATGAGTCTAAACTATTCTATTATTGGATAAGTTACTGGATCAATGGTATCCATCAGTAATGCACAGTATATAATCAAACAGAGGTGAACAATTAGTAATTATGCCGAAAATAATTTATTCACCTCAAACTCCTAACTGCACCAGTAAATATAAGAACTTGGTGGGTAACCGAGGTATAATCTAGGAGTCTATCGAACTTCAGATATCAGCTTTATGTACAGACATTTTTTAAAAGGTACTGAAAACCATACTGTTGCAATGAAAACTAGGAATTTTAGTCATGTAATTCTTTTGGTTATTTGCTTACTTTGGATATGTTTTTCACTAACGGATTCGGAATGGCCTTTAATTATTCTGGACAACACATTCAACAGTAAAGTACATAGACAATAGTCTCCAACTGGGGTATACAGATCAAAAAGGTTTAGTAAGATATCTACAGAATTCATATCGATTAACAATTTGCGGACAGCAAAGTCGGAGTTCCCTGGTAGCTGTAAGGATTGCAAAGCTTCCAGCAACTCGGAAGTTTCATGTTCAACCTCTAAAAACCTTTGAAGTCTTTTGATAGCTAGGGCACTCGGATGGCCGTCTTCATACTTGATCATATCCTTCACTATATCGGAGAGATCTACACCCTACATGTCGTAAACCATCAAAATGTCATTCCAGACCTCTAATGCAAACGTCTGAACGGATTCTGCTATAGCTTCATCTACTGAGAGGTCGAACAATTCCATATTTGACTTCACTGTCTCATCAAAATAACTCTGCGACACTTTCTTCATCGTCAAGATTACCGCCGTCTCGCAGTCAAAGACTATGTCCTTCATAAAGGCAGTGACCAAACAAGTCAATGGCAAGTGATAAGGTTAATACATTCCAAAATGTGTAACAGAAGAGGTTAGTTGACTATCTTTTGAGATTCATGTCTTAATCATACGCATATTTAAGAGTTTGGATAAATATATTATTTTACCACCACTCAGTTTCAGTTTGAAAAGGACAAGAGGCTTGATAGCTTGTGTTAGTTCTGGTAATGGTGGTCTCTCGGTTGATCCAACTTTCTTTTGAAAAAGTTGACGGATGGAGCTAGCGAGCGTTTCGGAGTATCCTCGTAAATTTCCCGTTTTGAAAGACAAGAAAAATAAGGGCACATTAAGGGCAAATTTATCACTAAGTAATTTGAAAACTGTTATCAAGTCACCTCTAGTTCTTCGATATGGCAACGGGAATAGATTTAACTTAGCCAGTTGAGCATCACATGGGAACTTCGCTATTCCGGGAGTCATTTTAGTTGCCGTTCTCTTCACCTTTTCCAAAAGCTCACTGTCTTTTCTTAAGCAGGGGCTAGCCGATTGTATGCAGTACTCAAGTTTAGGATGCACGAACACTGCATACAAAGTCAAGGACGTTTCAGCCCTGCGTATTGACCATAAAGTTCTAAAACGTTTGGCGGCTATTGCGTGGCAGTGTGCAGTAGTCTTTAAGTTTTGGCTAACGATAACTCCTAAGTCATTATGTGTCTGGACAACAGGTAGCTTGATGTTATTCATCATGTATGTATCTGTACTTTGATGACCGATATGCATCACAATACACTCGGAACTATTTCTCAGCGACTGCCAGGTTTGAGACTATTCATCTGATTTCTCCAGGTCATTTCAAAATTCTAAGTTATCACCTTTTACTTCGTATCGCACTCCATATCTTGAAGTCATCAGCATGTAGTGATTCACATTTATCACGAGAACACGACTGGTTTAATAAAAACAATTATTATTATAACCAATTGTACCAGTGCTTGTTTTAATGTGCTTTTGTTTGACTGTGCTAATGACAGTTAAATTGTGCTTCCATTCTTGTTCTTACACTTCGATTGAAACTTTGCGCGAATTCGGTTACGTTCTGTAACCAAGCTTGTATCCTGGCATGATCTCGGTATCTTTTCGATGCCACGAGATCGCCAGCAAATAAACCTCGACTTGGTCCATTAATTGCCTTCTGATATTTGGCTTATCGGGGGATTTTATGGAGTCATTTGGCACGAGCTTCTTGATAGCGGTGTTCATAGTCCATCTCCACTCGACGCCACGCTACAAGCATATAGCAAGACCGATGATGACATTAGAAGAGGAAAGTCATTTACACATAAGAGGAATGACACAAGCCCATAAGTGTGCGAGCTATTTCGAAGGACAGTAATATTTTTCCTCGCTGAGTAAATTCTATTGTCTTGATCGATTATTACGTTTGAGTCTACTATTTACACTTTAGTTGAATTTACTTGCGTCAAAGTATCCAATAAAAGAATCGTTTTTACTTCTGAAGTAGTTTGTCGTCGGTACTTTTAGTACTTTGTTTTCTAATGTATTTGTTAGTACCTTCGGTTCTAACAATTTACAGTTTTCCACCTTTTTGGTCATAGATCACCTTTGTCTGTGGGTACCATTGTCTCTAGTTTCTTTTTGGAAACCTCTGTTCAATGACTGGATAGTGTAAGAAAAGCTATTGCCAACTTCCGGAGTGAGTGCAAAACCTGGCACCACGAAGTTTGTGCGAGTTTGACGCCTGTAGCTTCCGAACGGTTAGTATGGATTTGTCAGCAGTGCTGCTCGAACGTAAACAGCTTGCTATTCGGGACCATTTCGATGGTACATGCTGCAAAAATGTGTATTAGCGAGAGAGGTCAGGACACATCGAACAACACTCGCTTTTTTGACACACAAGTTAATGTGGAGCTACATCAAGTGAACACGGAACCAGCTGACTCTCATCGGTCAAATGAGGAAAAACCGTATTCGAAGGGGTTCGCTCTAAGTAAAAACCCAAGAAAGAAAGTTTATTCTGTCCCTCGTCTTCTAAATTGTGGTCGGCAGGAAGCAACTAAGAATCGCAATCTCAAGGCTCGATCTGTTTCTCGCAGGAAACACAACCTGACTACCCAAGTTTTCAATAACCTTTTGAATCTCACAGTATGTTTAACGCAACTGCGGTTACTACTCCAAAGGGTTGACGAGTGGGTACTGGTCGACATAACGATATAAAAGAATGTCCAATCTCCCAAAGTGTAGTCGAGAAACTGAAGACTAATCACAGTGATAGGTCATTTATTTTTCATAGAATGAAAGCGAGTGAAAGCTCAGAACCTAAAACTCGGTTTGAGCATGATATTAGGTTGATACAACTACTAAATCAACCTATGCCTCAGAATATCCCCACAGTCACTTCGCTAAAAGTACATGTACTAGGTAATCAAGCCAACTTAAAACCAAATCAAACCAAGCTGCTTAAAGTACAATTTAAATCCCCTAATGAACGGGACTTGATTTTAAAAAAATGGACATAAATTAAAGAGTTCAAGAGTTTATGACCATGAGGACTTGTTTTTAGCAGACCGTGTAAAGAAACGAGAAGCCGAAGGACAACTTAGTTTAGGCGCTGTCGAACAGGCCCTAAAAATTGTGAATTTTCGGGTTGTGAGGCTTCGAGAGAGAGTGATACCGAAGTCAATTTGGGTGCAGCAGGAAGCTTCACATGTGTCACACTAATGTCCGAAGCTTGTTCGATAAACGTTCGGAAACAGGTGTAGAGGTCGACCCTACCAAGCCAGAAATAATAACAGCCACATAAACTTGACTGACGCAGCCTGTTGATATGATGGAACTTGACTTTGAGGGTTTTCAGTTGCTAAGAGCCGAGAGAACCCAGAAGCGTAAAGGAGGAGTGGTAGTTCTGTTCATGAGGAATGCTCTGCTGTCTGCTATTATCGATAGTGCATCCCATGAGAGTGAGAGGTGTGAACTGGTTAGTTGCCGCTTGAAATGCAAGAGACAAGAGCTGCTGCTTAGCTTGGTCAATTGCAGTTCAAGCTGTGGGGTAAATGAGGTTTTGCTAAACAGTCTCAATACTCGATTACGAAGTGATCGATGTCTAATCGCAGGAGACCTTAATGCACCCGCGGTAGATTAGGAAAATCTGATGAGGACAATGTGGTAAAGATTTATGTTACTGGGAACTGGTAAGACAAAATCTCATTATCGAGAAGCTCGCAATGCCTGTGCCATTGTAATTCAGCCTGTAGCTCCTCTAGGCCTACTACCAGTCTCGAGTCCTGTTGGGCATACGGTCGGCACACCAGCCCGTAGAAAACAACCTTGCCAGAATAAGTAATTTAACCCATTTAAACTCTGTCCTCCAAGTTGAATGGAGAGTTATGACGCCTCAGGATGAAAACCTAGACTCTTCGGAAGTCCATGCCTCTTCTGACAATCAGAGCAACCATTTTTATAGGTACATGGAACGTCTGGACAATGTGAGAGGCCGAGAGGATCAGTCAAATAGCAACGGAAATGAGGAGACACAACTTGGCAGTACTGGGAATCAGTGAAACCGATTGGAGCCAAGCTGGACAGCAAGGGTTAGGTACGAAAGAGATCCTGCTGTACTCCGGTCACGGAGAGGAAAATGCTTCATATACTCAGGAGGTTTCTCTAATGCTGTCCAAAGAAGCACGAGGTGCACTTGTAAGATGGGAATCTCACGGATCCAGAATCACCAAAGCATCATTCAAAACAAAGAAGGAGAGGGTCAAAATGGATGTTATCTAATGTTATGCAGTGCCGATGATAGCAATGACGATAGTAAAGATCAGTCCTACAAGAGGCTTCAACCGATCATAGCGAAGTGTCCATGAAAGAACCTGACTATCCTGATGGAAGACTTAAATGCCAACATCGGAATGGACAACGCTGGATATGAAGGTATTATGGGACATCATGGACTGACTGGGAGAAATTAACGTGAATGGTGACAGATTTGCAGGTTTATATGCATCCAACAAAAAGGTAATATACGAAGCAATGTTCCCATACAAACACATACACAAAGCTACATGGGACTTACTGGATCACACAACAGAGAACCAGATCGATCATATTAGCATCAGTGAAAAATTCACACGGTCAATGGAAGACGTGAAAACCAGGAAAATAGCTGACATAACTTCAGATCATCACCAACTGTTGGTTGCCAAGATGGAACTGGAGCTAAAGAGACATTGTTCAACTGGAGAATCAGCATTACTAAGATTCAAAACAGCTTTCCTTCGACATACAAACTCAATGGATTGAAGATAGTTTCCAACAACACCTTCCAAACCCCATAAGATCTACTGGAAAACTACTATGCAGGATAACTGGGAAGGGGTCAAAGAGGCACTAATTTCAACATGTCAGGAGGTTCTTGACCGCAAGAAGTATCTTCATATGTAATGGATCTCTATGGGAACTCTGGAAAATATTCAAGAATGTAAGAATAAGAAGAAAGCAAATGACAACAGCCGAACAAGTACAGATAAAGTCAAGGTACAAGCTGGACATACTGAAGAGAAGCACTAGAGCTGATCAGCAGAAATACGTGGAAGAGTTATCGACGACAGCGGGAAAAGCTGCAAGACAATGAAATATGAAGCAATTGCATGACATGACGAAGAAAGTGGCAGGGGAAAATAGCAAGCCAGAGAGAATGGTCATGGACAAAGAAGGCAAGATATTCACTGAGATTCAGGAACAGCAAATAAAGTGCGTAATACTCTTTGAAGAACTCTTGAACGGAACAGCTGCAATAAACCGACCAGAGATCATAACAGCATACGGAGACATTTCTATAAATGTAACTCCATCAACAATCGAAGAAATCAAAATGACTAAGAGTATGTAGGCTACTTTGTAGTGAACGAAGACTTGGTGCAGAAAGCTACTTTATTGTTTAGTGCAAAATTACAAAATGCTTTACTAAAATACGAAAACTACACATTAAATAC